TGCCCAGACCTAGACCAGTGACCATTCTCCGTCCAGTGGGTTAAAGGAGAAGGTGATTGGCAGGTAGGACTAGATTCACACTGCCATGTTCTCTGGCCTCCCTACCCCTACCTTCTGTGTATATTTCACACTCTTGTGACATGGCACAGGTCAGCTTTGAACTCATGATCCCCCAGCCTTAACCTCCACAATGACAGAGGCAGTCCTTTGTACCTCTGGGACAAATATCCTTCACCCTTCACCAGGTCAGTGTCCATCTGAGGGGACACTTGTAATTCCAGGTCAGTGTCCATCTGAGGAGACAAGTGTAATTCCAGGTCATGTCCATCTGAAGGGACAAGTGTAATTCCAGGTCATGTCCATCTGAGGGGACACGTGTAATTCCAGGTGAGTGTCCATCTGAGGGGACAAGTGAAATTCCAGGTCAGTGTCCATCTGAGGTGACAAGTGTAACTCCAGGTCAGTGTCCATCTGAGGTGGGGGCAGATGGAACAGTTGTCACATCATGAGGACCTGAGTTCAGACGCAGCACCCCTGTGAAACACTGTGTGGGGCACACACCTGTCACCCATGCTCTGGAGAGAAACACACAGCAGGAGCCTGCAGCTTGTTGGCCCACCAACCCGGTCTCACAGGTGGGTGCTAAAGAGACCCTGTCTCAGGAAACAGGTGGAAATCTGATTGACAGGGACAAATAACACGGTCTTTGGTCACACACACACACACACACACACACACACACACACACACACTCCATCTCAATGAACTCAGCCAGGCTGTACTTCTCCCTGGGCTGACTGACTTACATGTTACCATAGCACCACAGTGACCCCCTGCCGGGGGAAGGTGGTTACCAGTACCCAGGCTTAAATTCTGCAAGCAGGTGGCAGATGTGCCAGGGCCACAGACTATCAGTAATTTCAGAGGGGAGCTCTGGGACAAGAAGACCTTAGGGAGTGTATCAGAAAGGCCAGGCTGGTGGCAGGATGGGGCAGTCCCTGCTTGCCCATCCCCCAACAGCCAGCAGCTCTGGCACTAACACCCCAGAGTTAACCTTCAGTCTGATTCCAGTCACCCCGATACAGATGCTCAATAAAGACCCTGAAATGATGCCATCCCAGTCCAGCTTAGAGGACCAGTGACTTTATTGGGGTCCCATGTTTATGGGTGACTCATCAGCTGCATTCACAGGAAAGGCACCACAACATTGTGCTGATTCATGACAGCTGCATCCAGGAGGTCCCCTGGGCCAGTTTGCAGCCAGGTCCATGGAGGAGTTTTCTCTTCCCTTGTATCCCCAGCAGCAGTTCCCTGAGGCTGAGGAGGGCACTGGAGGCTTTGAGCTTCCTAGTTCTCCTTCTTCCATCAGGCCAGAGGTATTTCAGTCAGAAGGAAACATCTACAGAATAATAAACAGTCACAAGGTGGTCTGAGCTGTCTACAGATTGAGAAATCCAAAACACAGATTGGGCCAACTGATACATGGTTGTTCTCAGAAGAGGGCCCTTCCTGGGAGCACTCGGAAAGAGTGAGCTGGGTATTGTCAGGTCCCTCACTGGGACAGGCTGCTCATGGTTAGTGGGGCCTGGCACCACAGCAGGGCCCCTCCCAGTAGGGCCCCTCCCAGGAGAAGCAGCAGGGAGCTGAGCCAGCCCAGGTAGAGTGAGGCTCCCATCTTTGGTTTCCACTGGGGGTCATATGTAGAGTTGTTCATGTCAATGATGACATTGTGTGTTACCCAGGACACAGACACCAGCAGCAGCAGACCAGCCCCCACGAACAATCCACTTGCCGCCATCTTGATCTTGCCTTCATTGTTCATATTTGACTCATCTTTGATGAGCTTATTTCTGATCATGTACAGCAGCAAACCCATTGAGATGATGATGATGCAGATGACCACTAGAACGCGAGACCCCTGCAGCTCCTGTGACATGACCAGGTTTGAGTTGTAGGGCATGCAGATCACGTTCTGGTGTATTTCCGCATCACAGATGTTCCACAGGCCCTCCCAAATGCTGTTCTCTTCAGAAACTTTCGTCACAATCCACAAGGGCAGGCCACAGCTGATAATGGCCACTAGCCAGCCTAGCAAGACCAGAGAGAAGCTGGCTGCTTCCAGAACTCTTCGACCCATGATTCTCTCTCCGATGGACACAGCACACAGAAGACAGTGGAGATCTGACTCTCAGCTGCAAGATTCAATGGGCTGAGGATGGATTTTCAACGTGTCAATAGCAAGCTGTCCTGAGAATCAGGTCTCTACACAGTCAGACACACAGGCAGCAGGTAGGATTTCAGCAGTTATCACAGGGCCCTGGGTGTTGTAGGAACTTAGCAGAATCACTGTGTGGGATAGAAATTAGAATAAACAGCTATTTTTTAAAAGCACTTGACCTTGAAGAATCATTGTGGAAAGCAGTGATTGTTTAGTTAAAGGTGCTTTGCAGCCATCCCATGACTTTGGAAACAAGATGCCTCAGGCACACCTGAGGCTCTTGTTTTATTGGGTATTGTACACAATACATAATACAAGACTAGAGTCATGGAGACATGGGATACTCTCCTGCCCCGCCTGCAGGGCTACAACTGGTGCTCGACCACCCTAATGAGGGAATGTAGGGACAGGAGATACAAGGAAATACACCAAGTCTAGATTCTGATCAAGGTGCAACTTTATTTTTCTCCAGGAGGGTTTATATAGTTCCTGCAGGGTGGGGGGAACAAGAAGCGGTCATCTGCATAAGGTGGGGCAAGCTAACAGGATGTTTGTATAGGATGTTTACAGGGTGAGAGGGTCAAGGGCTCTGACTCAATGTCCTGTTGCTAGGCAACCTGATTGTAAGATGATCTAGTTTCCTGTCTTATGGGGGTCTGTATTTTTCCACTAACTAGAGATTCTGTCCTTGTCCCTGACAGTCTCCTTAGGTAAGACATGTTAAGTCAGAACAGGGGCCTTGGTATGAGGTAATACTTTATACAACTTTCAATAAATATGCCTTTATATGGCTGTTCAGGGTTCAATCCATCAGAAGAGGCAGAACCTTTCTACTGCCACATAGGCCTTAAAATTCTATCTTGGAATGTCTTCCTTCTTCCACCTACCCAAACTACATGGTACACCCTGACATTGGCCCCCAACATGGGGCCTTGGAAGAGATTAAGCTTGTATGAGGTTTGGTAAAGGGTGGGAAAGAGCGAGAGGTTTCTGTGCACAGGCCTCATGGGATCAGATCTCTGTACTCTTTTTAATGTGTGTGTGCATATCAGTGTGTGTGGGTACATGTTTCTGTGTGTGTTCATGCACAGGTGGGCACAAGAATGTAGACACCAGAGGACAATCAATGTTGTCATCTTCAGGAACTCTGTCTACCACCTTTGAGATGAGGTACATAAATGGCCTCCAGTTCACCAATTAGCTGACCAGTGTTCTATGAAGTCAGGTGACAACCCTCCTAATTCCCTAAGCCATCCTAGGGTACTGAGTTCTGGGGATCTGAGGACACAATGCAAAAAAGGCACATTGGTCAGCTGCACACCAAACAGGGACCTCCTGTGGTCCCATGCACTGCTATATCTGATGTGAGGTTCCATCTTGTCAACTTATCAGGATGTAGAATCCCCATGGATACAAACCTCTGGGAATATCTGAGAGAATTCCTAGACTGGGATACTGTGGTGAGAATCCTCACCCCGTGGGCAGCACCGTTCTATGGTTTGGGGTCCCAACTGAATGGAAAGTAGAAAGTGACTGTGAGCCCCGGCATCACCTCCCTCTGCTTCCTGCCTGTGGATGTGATGTGACTGCCTGCCTCGTGCTCCTGCCCCATGACATCCCAGCGACAACAGACTGCATCTTGGGAGGCAAATAAAGTTTTTCTTTGTCCAGGTTGTTTTGTGTCAGTGTTTTATGACAGACAGAGAAGGCAAACTGTCTGGCATGATGGTGCAAACACCTTTAGTTCCAGCACTTGGGAGGCAGAGGGAGTCTATCTCTGTGAGGTCCAGGCCAGCTTGGATACAATTGAGTTATGGACCAGATAGGACAGAGTAACACTGTCAGAGAGGGTAGGGGAGAAGAAGAGAGAGGGAGAGAGGGAAAGAGAAAGGAAAGAAGAGAGAAAGAAAGAACACTCAGTCACACTAGAACATGGTCTGAGCTGAGTTCAAAGATAAACAGAGACAACTTGTAGACAGAGGCCTACTTCCTGATCTCCTGCTTAGTGGAGGAAGCCAGGGCTGTTGCTGGGACTGAACAATTCATTCTCAGATGGGGCCTTCCACAAGGGCAGGGCTCCTCCAAGCATCAGCAGCATAGAGCTGCCCAGCCTGGGTAGAGCAAAACATCCTACTTTGCTTTCTGCATGGAGCCCAAGAGTGCATTGGAGCATCCATAGACGAAGTTGTGTGTTCTCAAGCACATGGACTCCATTGGCTACAGGCCAGCACCAGGATCAAAGCACCCACCCTCCTCACAATCATGACATCACCTCTGTCCTTTGGCAGCCATGATGGCACTCAACCTCAAACATACACAACAGCAAACCTATTCCATTATACAGAGGACCATGAGGACCTGAGACACCTGTGGGCCCTGTGAACCTGGTACATTTGCCATAGACCCCACCTAACATTAGATTCTAGCCCTATCATTCATGAAATATTGTCACCCTCACATGGGTAGCACATAGCTCCAAAAGGTCACCAGTCAGTTCAATTTGGTCACAGAAATGCAGACCCATTACAGTGCCTTGAGAGCCATGGCCCAGAGTCTCTGCAGTTAGGAAAGGGAGACAGTGGAGATCTGGGCTGAGCTGCAGGATCCCAAGGACTGATGATGGACAGAGCAAGTGTCCGTTCAGAGAAAGCCTTTCCCTGGACACAGACAGACACAAAAGCAGACAGAGACTCAGTCCACACCAACAACAACTACCTTTGTAGAAGCAGATGTCCCCAGCAGCAGTGTGAGGACAGCAGTTGACAGAGGCATCTGGTGATAGAGACTGGGGGAGTCTGAGTCTATGACAGGGGGTGGGGCACAGGGTGGAGCTTCAGATCATGTGGCCTCACAACCAGCCTGTACTCCGTTATGTAAAAAGTTTATATATCTGTGTGTGTGTGTGTCTCTATGTGTGTGTATCTGTGTCTGTGTGCTGTCCTGTGTGTGCATGCCTAGATGTGGTGTACATGTGGAGACCCTAGGACTCCTCCCTGTGGCATCATCCTTAGGATGCCATCTACATCCTTTAAGACAAGGTTTCTCAAATGACCAGGGCTCATCAACTGTGCAGACCTCCTGGCCAGGAAGCCCTGTGGCTCCATCTGTCTCTTCCTCTTTGGCACTAGATTTACCATCACATGCTTGAATGTGCTGCATGTTTACCAGGGTTCTCAGATGGACCTCAGGTCTACCAAGCTACACCCCCAACCAAGAGTCTCTGTATTCTGAGCCCAGGACAGCAGAGTCCTCTGAAGGCCCCAATCCAGAGCAAAAGAGTCCTTATCATAGAAAGTATCTCCTTTCTTCCCTCCATATGGGTGCCCATTAGCACATCCACATTGAATAGTACACATTTATACAATTATATAGTATATAGAATGATAATTTAGAAAGAAAGTGCATGTCTACTCCTAATTGATTGGTCCACCTGGGGACAAGGTGGCAATAACAACCTGCTTGGTCCCCAGCTTCCCTTGATAGCTCTCGGCCATCAAATGCCCAGACCTAGACCAGTGACCATTCTCCGTCCAGTGGGTTAAAGGAGAAGGTGATTGGCAGGTAGGACTAGATTCACACTGCCATGTTCTCTGTCCTCCCTACTGCCACCTTCTGTGTATATTGCACACTCTTGTGACATGGCACAGGTCAGCTTTGAACTCGCGATCCTCTGCCTTAACCTCCACAATGATGATTCTCAGGCGTACACCACCAAGCCCAGAGCTCTCTCTTTGTCCTCTAGAGAAGTGTCCCAACATGATGAGTCAACGGACTAGGCACCAAGACTTGGGAGCAGAAGGTGACAGAGAGGAACAGTGACGTGGCTGGGTCCCTGATGGCATCACTGACCCCCAGACCACAATGAATGGTCTGGATTTTCCCCCATTGGACCTGAACATTTTCCCTCCTTGAAGCCGACCATACACCATTCTTTCATTTACAGTGGAAGCCGACGGTGTTCCCCACATACTCACCTCATACCCATTACGTAGAATAGATTCCTGTATGGAGTGTGGACGCTGCTCTCTAAAATCTGGTTTCCTCACAGCCAGCAACACTTTCCACACCAAATGTGATCTGGGGGGGAAAAAAAGACTATGCAAGGCAGGTCTATTCAGCACCCAATCCTCTTTCAGAACCTCCTAAAACCTCGGTCTCTATCACCAGATCCGAATGTCAACTGCTGTGGCTCAAACATCTTGACTGTGCAGAGAGAGCTGGCAGCAGGGACATCTTTCACTCTGAGCCACTGAGCCTCTCAGGAAATGGCTCTCTCTGGACCCATTGAAAGTCCATCTTGGCCAGGCGGTGCTGGTGGGAGCATTTCATCCCAGCACTCGGGAGGCAGAGGCAGGCGGATCTCTGTGAGTTTGAGGTCAGCCTGGTCTACAGAGCGAGATCCAGGACAAGAAGGAGAAAAAAAAAAGCGAGAGAGGTTTTGTCATTGGAACGCTGCCACTCCAGGGCCAAATCCCCACTGTCTCGTCCGTCCTGCCACCAGCTGGCTCTGAGCCATGGTTCTCAGGGAACAAGAGGACATCAGTTTCTCCATGGCAGGTCTGATAGTGGCCTTATGCTAGGTAGCACAATGTCTTCCTCCAGTTCTCCAACCCACGGCTATGTTCCATGCAGATGGGCAGCTCTCCCTGCTTGGCCTGGGCCAGCTCATCGCTGTCGCTTTGTGGTTTCAACCTCCCATCAACCAGTGACCTCCTTTGTTCCTCTGTGGACTCTGCTGTCATTCCTGCCCCCATCTGAATGATTTCACTGATACCAGTGAAGTCAGGGTTCAGTTCATTTGGGGCTTCAGAGACCCTCATCAAGGGCCCCTTCTACTTTAGGTAAAGCAAGTGGAAAAGTGGTTGGGGAAGGCACATAGACATCTGGCCTCCATTCGTGTGTGTGTGTGTGTGTGTGTGTGTGTGTGTGTGTGTGTACACACCAACACACACACATACACACACCAACACACACACACACACACACACCAAAACACACACACACACACACACACACACACACACACACACACCAACACACACAACCACATATACAAATATTACAACTGCATGAACTAGCCAGGCTAGAATCTCCCATGTGTTGACCCACGTGGTACCCCAGGGACTACCAACCCCGAGTGGGTGGTTATCAAGACCCAGGCTTATCTTCTGCTTGCTAGGTGCCAGAGCAGCAGGACACCAGCAGCTCCAGAACTGAGCCTGGTGCCAAGAAATACGCCTGAGAAGAAGTCAGGCTGGGCCCAGCTGGCACTGGCTGGCTCAGTCCCTCTTTGCCCATCCCCCAACAGCCTTCGGCCCTGGTGCTAGCATCCTGAGGTCTGCTGTGTTCCTGTAACACCAAATAGAGAGAGCAACTCTAGACCAAAAAAGGGATTCTATCCACACCCAAGTCATTTACTAGAGTATGGGTAATTTTGGTGACTCCACCACCCAAAACCAACGCCAGCATGGGTATGGGTAGCATTCACAAAGGACACATCCCTGGGGTCCCCTGCCCAGCTTACAGATACTCCACCAAAGAATCTTCTTTCCTGTAGGCCAGCAACAGTTCAGTGTTCGCATGACCTCCACAGCAGCCTCTTGAGTCCTGAAAGCTGACGGAGCCTGCAAGGGGTAATGTTTCAGTCCAAAGGGCACAGCTGCAGAGTAATCACAAGTCAGCCTGGGCCCAATCCAGGGATAAACAAACCGGGAAGGCAGAGAGTGGCTTCACTGTGATTGCCTGGGGCAGGTCTCAGCAGAGTCCTGACCTAGTATGAAGTTCCTGAGGTCCTCACAGTGGATCCTGAGCCCCTCCTGGTCCCTCTCCCCGTCTTGGTGCAGACTCTCATTGGCAGCTACCTTCAAGGCTACAGTTCTGCTCAGACCGCTCCACCTGGTCAGCCTGCTCTCTCCAGTGACCTTAGACAGCATGGCGCCAAAAAAAAGAGCACTTGGCGTCTAAGCATAGGAACCCAAGTTCAATTCACAGAAATCCAGTAAATAAATAAATAAATACATACATACATACATACATAAGTAAATAAATAAATAAATAAATAAATAAGACAGGTAGGTATGGCTGTGCATGCTTGTAATCCCAGCACTGGGGAGGCAGAGACCGGAGGATCCCAGACAGCCTACCTAGATTGGTGTGTTCCAAGTCAGGGAGAACATTCATATCAAAAAACCATGTGGCTGGGTGGTGGTAGTGCACGCCTTTAATCCCAGCACTCCGGAGGCAGAGCCAGGCAGATCTCTGTGAGTTCGAGGCCAGCCTGGTGTACAAAGCAATTTCCAGAATAAGCTCCAAAGCTACACAGAGAAACCCAGCAAAAAAAATAAATAAATAAAGACCATGTGGGTGGTGCCTGAGGACAAACGTTCTTGGTTGACCTCTACCCTCTACACTGATATGTACAGACATACACCCTACACACACATACATGAACATGCACACACATACACACAAGAAAACTCAGCCATCAAAGGGACCCCTGGAACAGAGGACGGTGACTGACAGCTGCCCAGCATCTTGAAGAGTCTGCAACAGGAAGAGCTTGAGTTCCAGGCCAGTCTGAGGTTATACAGTATGTCCTCATTTCAGAGAAGCCGGGGGGGGGGGGG